TCGGAAGCCGTGGGGAGTTTAAAGAAAAGCCTGAAGAACAGCTTTCTTCACAGCGCGGGAAGGCTGGCAGTAAGTCATAGTAACAGTAACTATGAAAGACTTGGCTATTTCGGTTCTGCTGACTGCTTTATTATGAGCAAGCTGCTAGCACAGTCCATCTTAAGGCTGTACAAGTACTTCCAACGTGTAAAACCCCATCCGAAGGCCAAGAAAGTCACAGTGAACCAGCTGAGACTAAAATTTCCCGAGCTGGAGGGTTGTGCCTCAGGCTAAATTTGTTTGGGAATGTTCAGCCAAATTTTTTTAATCCCTTTCTAACGGCTGACATCGTTCTTAGAAATCCTTTGTTTATCTGACCTTCTCCTCACCCGTCAGAAAAATTCCTGGCGATATTTTCCTTTCTCAGTTTCATGCTTTGAAGCATTACACGCAGAATTTGGCAGGAGGCAGCTTTCTGTTAGGAAGACACATTGCACCAGCTCTCTAAAACTGTGCTCAAACTTGGCCGTGTTACAAGCACTTGAAAGCCCGGTTTGCATGAGCTTGATCGAGTTCTCGGTTTCTCAGCTAAAATTCCCCGGAGACATCTGATCGGAGCAGGTGGTGGCTGTTGCCGGCTGCCGGAGGCTGTCAGGGGTGAATGACAAGTGCGAAGCTGGTCTCCTCCCCGCCCCCCTTGCCCCCTTCCAGCACTGAAACAGTCGGGAGGAGAGGCCGGCTGAGTGAAGGTGAAACAAAGGTAGATGGTGGGCTGAAAAAAAGCAGATAGGGGAAGGACCAAACCAGTGTGGGACTGGGTGGGAGAACAGCTTTTCTGGGCTCAGAAGAGGCCACCGAAGAAGAAAGGGTTCTGGGGTCATCACCAGCCCCAGCTCTGCTGCAGCCTGGGAGATGGGCGGCCAGGGAACGAGAGCAACAGACTTCACACTGACCGTTCGTGCTGTTCCATGAGACTTTACTCCTCTGGAACGGGACACTGCTGAGGTCTGGATCCATCTAATGGTGTGTGGGGGAAGGCAGATGGCCTGCTGGGGTTGGGATGAAAAACCTCTGACAGCTCAAGGAAATACTTGTGACTGGAGCTTCCTGGCTGGGTCCAGTATCCCTGGGAGTGTCCAAGGCCAGGCTGGATGAGGCTTTGAGCAACCTGGTCTAGTGGAAGGTGTCCCTGCCCATGGCAGGGTGTTGGAACTGGATGGTCTTTAAGGTCCCTTCCAACCCAAACTGTTCTGTGATTCTATGACTGAAGCAAAGAGGGAAAGAAGGAAGAGCATGTCTTTGGCCATTGGAAGATTTTCCTGTGAAGGAATGCGTGCGTGATGCTGGGTAATTGCTGAAACAGCAGTTTTCACAAACAGGCACTGATCTGTGACCTCCACGTCGGGGGTGCCAAACCTGCGACCTTGCGGGAGGACCTGCAGAAGCAGCTCCCCAGTCCCTCTGGGAGCTGGTCAGGGCCCCTGTGTGGCAGCCGGGAGCCATCCAACCCAGCTTCCGGGCTTTTCCTATTAGTACAGGCACTCAGAAGGCCGTTTCCATTTTCTGCCTTGGTGGCACCTCAGGGGGATGCTGGGCATACAGAAGACTGCCCGCTCTGAACCCAGACGGTCACTGGTGCGGTCACTGATGACTGCTGCGCAAAAGCCCAACCAAAACACCTTTCTGGGCAGGGTGTGAACAGCTGGTGGCAAAACAGGCTTTGAAACCAAATACTGCAACTAAAACAGGATTAGTAAACGATCCTCATCTACCCTGTGCACTGAATGAGGGGAGGGTCCTTCAGAAAGGAAAAATAGCATGAGGTCGTAATGGAAGATGATCTTATGGAATAGATGGGCAGAAAGGCTCAGTTAAAACGGTGCAGGCAACCCTTGCATCGCCTTACTGCTGGATACTTCGTTTTGCAGTATTAACAAGCTTGTTCTTAAAGCTGTCCTTCCTGCGGGTTTTCCAGTCGAAGGATGGTTATGTCTGCACGTAACTTCTTGCACTGGTTTTGGCTGGGATAGAGTTGATTTTCTTCACAGTAGCTACTACGGGGCTCTGTTCTGGATTTGTGCTGAAAACACTGTTGATAATATACAGATGTGTTTGTTATTGCTGAGCAGTTGCTACACAGAGTCAAGGGCTTTACTCCCCACCCCACCCCACCTGCGAGTGGGCTGGGGGTGCACAAGAAGTCGGGAGGGGACACAGCCAGGACAGCTGACTCCAACTGACCAAAGGGATACTCCATACCATATGGCATCATGCTCAGCGTATAAAGCTGGGGAAGAGGAAGGAAGCGGGGGACATTGGGAGTTACGGCATTTGTCTTCCCAAGTAACTGTTATACGTGATGGAGCCCTGCTTCCCTGGGGATCGCTGAGCACCTGCCTGCCCATGGGAAGTGGTGAATGAATTCCTTGTTTGGCTTTGCTTGTGTGCACAGCCTTTGGTTTACTCATTAAACTGTCTTCATCTCAACCCATGAGTTTTCTCACTTTCACTCTTCTGATTCTCTCCTCCATCTCACCAGGAGAGAGTGAGTGAGCGGCTGTGTGGTGCTCAGTCGCCGGCTGTGGTTAAACCACGACACTTCTGTAACTTCATTTAGCTCGTCTCTTAATTGGCTGCGCACAAGGACACGCACGCAGCGCAGCGGGGCTGCAGCTGGCTAAAGTTACCGTGTGGATTCAGAGGTTTTGCTCTCTGACTGGAAAATCATTCAAAATATTACTTTGTTGAGAAGAAATGCAAATGAACGTCTTTCATTCTTCAGAAGGATAATTACCCTTTTCTCTTTCTCTCTCTCAGAAAGAGATTTGTTGTCTCTCATTTCTTTTGCTTGCTTTGAAAACAGTACTGCTGAAATTCCCTGAGCTGTAACACTCGCTCCAGTCCTTTGCAGGAACGGCAGTCCATGCTACTAGCCAGAAGTGGAGGAGCTGTCTAGTTTGCAGCCTGAAAGGGAGAGGAAAAGGTCATTTGCCAAGAGGTCTTTTGGAAAGGGGTAAACTGGGGGGGTGATGTATAATTTTTTTCTTAAGCTGGTGCATTTCTCAGGTTTCAGCTTTGCTGCCTTGTGTCAAGGCCGAGCCACAGGAAGATGAGCAGCTGAATGGCCATTCAGGGCAATGGTTATTAAAAGCAAGTCCACTTCCCAAATTCCAATCCTTCTGAGGGCCAGGAGGTGAGCAAAGGGAGTCAGACATCCTTTGGCTGTAGCCAAGATGAGCAAAAAGGAAAGAACCTTTTAGGCTGCCCAGGGCGGTGGTGGGGTCTCCTCCTCTGGAGATTTTCAGAAGCCGCCTGGACTTGTTCCTGTGTGACCTGCTCTAGGTGATCCTGCTCTGGCAGGGGGTTGGACTAGATGGTCTCTAGAGGTCCCTTCCAACCCTTTCCACTCTGTGAATCTGTGTAAAACCCAAGTGGATATTTTTCCACTGAAGTCCATAAAGCTCAAAATGCATTGAAACGGGCAGGGTGACATCCACTGCCATTCTTGGGAACACATTTTCCATCTTTTCCCTTGTCATCTGAGTGTATGAAAATTGCTGTGAGAGAGGCCCCTTGACCACCTTTTAGCATCCCACGGTCTCCTGCTCATGCCAGTCCAGGGAGTGCAGGACTTGCCCAGAAGCACCCTGTCCCATGGCAAAGCTCTGGGCACTCTTCTGCAGGAAGACCCAGCCCTCCTCACCCTTTCCAGCCTGTCCTTCCTGGAGAGCTGCTGTCCATCTGTAGCAGCTCTCCAGTCACCTGAACGATCCCACCATGCCTCTGTAAGCCAAAAGGAATCCTAATTCTGCAGTTGTGTAGGGGCTAGTGGTTCTCCCGGCTGTTTCCCCTGCTGCATGTTTGTTTACAGATACCTGAGGCGAACTGAGTCATGCCGCTTCCTTTCCCAAGGGACATGCCGGGTCATACTGCGGAGCCTCCAGCGAGAGGACCTCGGCACACACGTGACGAGCGTTGGGGTGCCTTCTTGGGCGAGGGGCATTGCGAGGCCCTGGCTGCACCCCAGAGCTGAGTGCACCCTCTTTGCAGGTGCCTCACTTCGCAGCCTGAGCTCTCCATCGCCGCCGCAGCAATCGCTCCGTTAGGAGTTTTTCTCTGATCACGCTGAGATCACAGATCAAACTGTGATGGCTTTATGGCTTCGTTTTAGCGAGAACTAACTGTCATACGAGAGAGCGTTACTGATCTCCGATGGCAGGGATGCTAGGAGCACACAGCTGGGCTTTTTTAGGAAGCACTCTGACTATCTCCATAATTGTCTTTGCGTTACTGCTGCCCCAAAGGCTGGGATTTGAGGCTCCTTGCGATACATGTGCTTGCTTTTTTGCAGCTGAGCTGTATTCTAAAAAATCAAGGTCATCGTGCTGAGTGACATTTAGAGTTGGATAAAGATTTGTATTCCCAGAAATGTAAATTATTTTTGAAGTCTGAGGTCACCGTTTTGGGCTAATTTCTGTGACGAGTGCTTCTGTAAGGGAAAGGGACAGGTTTTGTTTAAGAGCTGCTTCTCCCTTGACTTGCCTGTACAAACAAGAAGGCGACACAGATTTAAACAAACTCAAAATCCCACCACGAGAATGCAGCAAGACTGGATGGCTTGGCGTGAGCCGCGATCCCACCTTGGCTTTGGGAGAGGGCACGCGCCCAGCCCTGCCCCATGGAGGGCACCACTGCGGGAGCTGCCCCCGCGCAGGCACAAAGCAGCCTCGGAGCTCGGGCTTTGGAGGGGGAGGAGGAGGAAGAGGAGGGATGACCCTCATCACCACTCCCCCAAGGCTGAGCTGAGCAGGGGAGGAGCTTTGGGTTAGAGCCAAGTCCCACATTCACAAGGCTGCAACTGCAGAGAGAGTGGAGCAGGGAGGCAGGAGAGTTTGGGAAGAGGAGAAAGCAAGGAAAAGGGGGCAGCTGCCTGCAGAGAAAAGGGAAGAGAGAGAGGAGGCAAAAGGAGGCAAAAGCAGTCTTGGGTCAAAAGAGGAAGACCACGGAAGACAGCCTACAAAATGGCGTTGCTCCTGTGGCTGGGGTCCCAGCTGTCATCCTGCTGGAGCAACCTCTCTATACTGGGAGTTTTTCTTGCCGTCTTCACTTTACTCCTTGACTTCATGAAGCGCAGGAGGAAGTGGAGCCATTACCCCCCGGGCCCAGTGTCGCTGCCGTTCATCGGGACCATGCTCAGCATCGACTTCCGCAACCCCCACCGCTCCTTCAACCAGGTGAGTGCTGCCCCCCAAGACGAAGCGTCACTCGCAGACCGTGGGGCCAGGAGGGGTGAGGACACCCTGGCGCGATCAACCCTTGCACATAGCCAGAGGGCAATGCCCTCTCCAAGGCCCAGGAGGAATTGTCACTGCCTGAGGACACTGACCTTAGATAAATAATCACACGCCAACACGCGCCAGCCGCCCTCCCCCAGTCTCTGCGTGAGCTCAGCGGGAGGTGCCGTCGTGCCCCCGGTGACGGGTGATGCTGGCTCTGCTGGAGAGCTGGCCACAGCTTAGCACACGGGCGGGTGTGGGGGCAAGGGGGATGACGAACAAGGGGAGACAAGCAAACTGGCTGTGGGCCGGGGACGCGGCTGCGGGAACAGCCAACTTCCCTGCCAGTTACTTAGCGCGCCTACAGGCATGTGACAGTTCAGTTAAAGGGATCAGCTTGCGGGATTTGCCCCTGCAGCAATGCCCAGAATCTGGGTAGCATTCCTGTTCAAAGTCGGGGCTTAGCTTTTCTCAAAGGAACAGCACAGCACAGCTTGCAGCAGATAAACCACAGGGGTTTTGTGCTCCTGTTCGCAAACCCCAAAGGCCTTTTCTCTAGGATGGCACTGTTCAGCTGCCTGTCCAAAATCTGTCAAATGGAGAAACTAAATACAGCATTTGTATTACTTGCATATTGTCCAAAAGATTACCATTTTCAAATTACATCAGGGTCATGCTAACCACAATCTTGACCAGTAATCGCTTTTAATGATGTATTCCTGGTGCCAGTGAAGTGCTAATTCCCTTTCCAACCCCACTGCATATACAGCCTTAAGTACTTCAGTGCCTTGCATTGCTACAGGGCAGAAATGAAAACACTTCACTTTCTAGCAACATAAAAAAAGCCAGAACAAAGAAAAAGAAGGCAGAGCACAGTCTGTGGGGCACTGCTACGATTGCACTGTCCTCCAACAGCGTGCTCCAGGGCGCTTTGGTCAGCGTTACTGACTGGCAGGGGAGCTTCGACCTGCCTTCCTAGGAGTCTGTGTCCAGTCAAAGGGCTTGTCTGCCTGGAGGAGACTTAACCCCATGGCAGAGCCATGGTGGGTGTACGGCTGACAGGCTTACCTGCAGCCATCCTGCTGTCAGCATTGTGTCCCTTACAGACCACGACAGATGTAGGTTGTGTGCTGGTTAACGGTCTTATTAGATGTGTACACTCCTTTTAGGGAGAAAGGTGACTGAAACTCCAGTGTGGAATAGCCTCCTCCTACCGTGTTTCTGCAAACCGGGCTCTGGGTAGATCTTTAGGAAAAAAAATGCATACTTAAAAAAAAATTACATCTCCCCTTATCATCAATATTTCCTTCTGGCAGAAGTAGACTAACACAAAACTTGCCCAGTCTTTCAGAGCAAAATGAATACAAGTATTAGGAAATAACGTGTTGTTCAACATGCAGCCTTTGATAATCCCCAAAAAGGTCCTTGACCTTATGTCATCAGACTTGCACAATGGTCACGGCAGCGGTTTGGCCAGGATAGGTGTATTCTACACCTCTCCACTCACAGAGCCTTGGTCCCTGCTTCAGCCGCTGGTTGGCAGCGCTCTGAGCTGTTGCACTGCAGAGACAAAGGTCAAAGGCCAGTTGATGGTCTCCTGATAAAGGCGCCTCAAACCCCACTAAATAGTCAGGGCCCTAAAGGAGGGTATGGCGACACTTTTGACCTTACATTCAGCTCATTTTCAGGGACGTAATTTTTATCTTGGCAGCTTCACGAGAAGTTTGGAAACATCTTCAATCTCCAGAACTGCTGGACCAACCTGGTAGTACTGAACGGGTATAAAACAGTGAAGGAAGCCCTGGTCCACAGAGCGGAGGACTTCGCTGACCGCCCCTACTTTCCAGTATATGAACATCTGGGCTACGGAAATAAATCTGAAGGCAAGTCCCTTGGAAATGCACGTTCTCCACTGGCACTAGCACAGGGAGGGACTGGGTAGATGGTGGGTAGGTGGAAGATGTTCTCAGTATGGTGCCACCTTCTCATGTCCCTCCGGTCAATCTCCTTGTATGTCTGCCACTCTTTGGTGGTGACAGAACCAGATTTGATGAAAAGGGGGCTCTCCTCAGTGGTTGTGGTACAGCTCCAGCTGCTAGCGCACACCTCTGCGGCAGCGTTGGGACACTATCCGTGGTACAACCTTCCTGCCAGCCTGGGAGCTGGTAGCTCCCAGCGCCCAGTGATTAGTGGGTATGCTCACACACTATGTGTGTGTCGTTGTTGTCACCCAAAAACCGGTTAACTTTCTTCCAAGATAGAGTATTATCCAGCCCACAGCTCTCCTCCTCAGCTCCAGGGTGGTGGCACAAGCTGCTACCCAGTTCACACACGCTGAGGATGCAGTGCTGCATGGTTTGGGGGAGTGAATCCTTTGTCCTTAGCAGCACTTGTTGCACTCCCTGAATCCCCCTCCGCCTTCCCTAGCCGTGCACATGCGTTAGAAGGTGCAGTAATCCATTTTTAGACTTGCGGTAACAGTCTGGACAAGGTCAGGCTCTTTCATCTAGCCACACAGCTCTGTACCGCCAAATTCACATTTGCTGTTCTCTAGCAAACTTTGCTTGATGTACGGGGTCCGGGCTCCTGACATTTCTTGCTCATCCGTAATTCCAGGGATTATTATAGCAAGATATGGGCACGTCTGGAAGGAGCTGAGGAAATTCACGCTTTCTACCTTGAGGAACTTCGGGATGGGAAAGAAATCCTTGGAAGAGCGAGTGTCAGAGGAAGCAGGATTTCTGTGCTCTGCAGTCAATTCTGAAGAAGGTTTGTTGCATCCAGAGGGACGGGGGAATCGTAGGAAAAGGCAGTACAGCGACACAGCGAGAGAAGTGATGCTACAGCCACCCTCGTTTGCATGCAGTGCTCTCTTCCTAAGCAAATGCAGCATTTCTAGTCCATAGGCAGTAGTGACCCTGCTCTACCTGGAAGCCACTTCTGCTTTACATGGTGGGGCCACTCCAACACGTTTGATATGGGAAACAAGTAGGAAATAAATAGAAATAAACAGGTAAAATATAATTATTCCCAGAGCAACTGGGTAGTTGTTACCTTTAGGAGGTTTAGTGGAACATAGGGATATTATCCCATGCAATAGACGTGCAGCTGAGAGTTTTCACTGCACGTGGCCTATCATCTAGGCACAAAGCAAAGTGTTACCTGTCAGGGCACAGAACAACTCTGCAACTCAGTTTTTCTTGGGAGTTCTCTCTTTAAACAAGGATCAACCAAAGAGTAGTAGGGGATGAGATGATCTTCACTCCCTAGTATGCTATATTTGTACTTGGAGTGGTCTGGGGGCTTTTTCCCTTGAAGGCATCAAGGAGGCATTTGTGTATCACTGTTGCTGACAGCTGGGTGTTGCTTCGCTTCATTGCTTGGTCACCTCTTCCATTTTCAGGTCGTCCTTTTGATTTACGTTTTCTTATAAGCAATGCAGTCTGCAATGTGATCTGCACCACCGTCTACGGAGAGCGTTTCGACTACAGTGATGAGACATTCAAGAAGCTCTTACGTTTGTTTGAAGGCTCCCTGAATGAGGAAGCTGGATTCCTGCCTCAGGTGAACCTAGAGCATAACACGTTCTGTGAGAAGCTGCCCTCTGACGCTTGAGCGCATTGGGTTTCCATTATTTTTCTTTTTGCACCACGTAACATCTTCTCTCTCTCTGGTTCTGACATCCCAGCTGCTTAACGTGGTGCCCGTTTTGCTGCGCATCCCCGGAGTGCCACAGAAAGTCTTTCGAGGGCAAAAGGCGTTCATGGACTTCATAGACGTGCTCATAGATAAGCACATGGAGACCTGGAACCCTGCACACGTCCGAGATTTCACTGATGCGTTTTTAAAGGAAATGGAGAAGGTAGGGTGATGCCAGCAGAACCTCGGGAGCAATTCTTCAGCCTGTTTAAGCTTGTGGATAAAAGCTGACTTTCCTCATAAATCTGTATCTCTTGCTAATTTCCTGCTTTTTCATTCCACGTTGTATCTTGAGAAGAAAAGGTGTGAACTTCTTCCTGCAGTAACCTCCTTTACTGTCTTAAGAGATCATATTATCTGCTGATGTTCTTGTGCCGTTTTCTACCTTCACGTTCCCCTCACAGCCTAGCACTCCCTTCTTTACAGTCTGCACCATTCCAAGGGCATTTAAAGGGCAGTGATGGGCAATTCACTCATATTTCTAAGCGTGTGCCAGGGGAGAAGTCAATGTGCAAGAGTCTGTGTATGTCTCGGAGCCGCAGTGGCTGATGTCTCAACATCAGTTACAAAACTGCAGCAACAGACTGGCTTTTTGGTATCATTGCCCACTACGTGGCCTGCCTTTAAACGAAGTTGACTTGGAAAGATGGTATCTCCCTCGGGATGTGTGTCTTGGAATTGCTTGCTAAGAACTAGTTCCCTACCGATCAGATGAAGGCCTAAATCTGAACCTCACTGAAATGAAGAGGAGTCTTCCCTTTGATTCAGTCAGGCATAAAGTCAGTATAAAACCAAAGGTCCTTGTGTCAGCCGGTCCATCCACCATTTGTTTCGGCACATGGATTCACTCAATTTCAAGTGCCAGATGAGCAGTTGTAGCAAATTCTGCCTGCAAAATGCTTCCGCCATCCGGGTCCTCGGGCTGGACGGCTGCTCAGCATAACGAACCCCGTGGGCACCGGGCACCTCCGGTCCATGCATAAGCCCCCCGGCTCGCACGGGCAGAGCAACGTGACCTACGTTACTCTGCGCTGGGCCGGACTGTCTGGGGGCGGATGTTAGCCTGACCACGTTGCCTCTTGACACATCTCTTCTGCTCGCTAAGGCCCCCTGATAAGCCAGGCTCAGAAATCCCTCTACTGGGTTAACTTTGGTCCGGTCAGCCCCTTATCTCCCTCGCAGGAGATCTTTTATTGGAGTAACAGTTGAGTCTCAAACGCCTTCGTAATTGCTCTCCATATTACAATGGCATCAAAATATACAGGATAACTTAACACAAGCTAGTCCCTAGGAAAGAAAAGTATAAAAGGGATTAGAAAAGACAAGCAGATGAACTCACGCAGAGAGCTTGTCATATCTCATATGCTAACAAATTTGAGCTCAATTAGCATTTGGATGAGAGACCAGTTTTGCTGAAATTGGTGTTGCAGACTTCATAGGCAGCAATGATACCCTGACTCTTTTTTTTTTTTTTTGATTGTATGAAAATAGCAGAGCAGAAGCAACAAGAGTCTGTAATGCATAGCTACAGATAACCCTCTCAAAATACTGTTAATTTTGCATCTGACACATCAATGCAGCCTCCTCTCCACTGCTTGGGTGTTATGATCCGATCAAACCTGAATAACTGTTCCACCTCCCCTGGGGGAGGATGTTACGGCAAGTGGCAGGGCCTGCTGTTTGAGTTGAGAGCATGAGGCGTTCCCAGGCAGGTCTGGCATCCATCTCTGAGGATACATGAGGTGACTGATGACCTTCAGATACAGGAGGTAGCGGGGTTACTGAAGTGCATCAGTCATACACAGTCTGTTGCCCGTGTTGTGCTCTACCAATGAACCTTTTGGTCAGCAAAAATGGCTCCAGTGCTTCTCTATACTCCTCTGGAACAACGGGCTTCTCGCCCAGCAAGTACCCCAGCTCCAATCACCCACTCCCTTGCTCTCTGCAGGGTAAGGCGGCAGAAGAGAGCGGTTTCAACTATAACAACCTTCGTCTGGTGACCGCAGACTTGTTTGTGGCTGGTACCGAGACCACCTCCACCACGCTCCGGTGGGCTTTACTGTACATGCTTCTCCACCCAGAAATACAGAGTAAGTCGGAAGACAGGCAGAGGTTTGGCATCTTCCCTTCAACCCTCATTCTTCTGTGAGGAGGCTGAACATCTTCTCTCTGTGGTTTGGGGATTTTGCAGTGAGGAACAGCTTTGGTGACTGTTGGTCTAGCAGGAACCAGGAGAGATGCTTCCCAAGCATAGCTGTTCTGGTGGGAACCAATGAAGGGGCGGGGTGTAGCCTGGATGAAAAGACTGGAATTGGAAGGCCAAGTTCGCTCTCACCTTCATTTTGAAGGCTGAGTGGGGACTCTCAGTGGCCAGAGCGCCCTCTTTCCAGTATCTGAAATAGATGCTAACCTGTTTTAATTCCGTAATGCCGCATGCCCAGGTACCCTTTCAGCTGCATAGAGCAGAGGTAAGATAGCACGTCTAGTGACCTTTATTGAAGACACTGTGCACAAACAATAGTCATACGGATGGCTCTGAGCAACTGAAAGCAAATGCATTCCCCTCTAGTTTCTGTTTCTTTCTCTAATTGCTTGTCCTGCTCTCACCCAGTGTCCACAGTCTCATGCTGCCAACCTTCCTACAGCTTGTACCAGCCCCCTTCTGTTTTCCTGAGGGCGCTCTGATTTCTCAGCTGTGCTGCTTTCAGGTAAGGTCCAAGCAGAGATTGACGAGGTGATTGGCAGAGGGAGATCACCCACCATGAAGGACCAAGAGAGCATGCCCTACACCAATGCTGTGATCCATGAAGTGCAACGCTACGGGGATGTCATTCCTATTGGGCTACCTCACATGACGTACCGGGACACCGAGTTGCAAGGCTTCTTCATTCCCAAGGTGACCATGGCCAGACAGGCAATGCAGCATCCTCTCCCTGTGCAGACTCCAGGCCTGGGGTATGGGTGGCCCCACGCAGCTCTGCAGCATTCCGCTTCTAGCCCCAAATCACAGCCATTGGCAAGCACCCAAGTAGAACATTCTGAAAAGCTAAGAGCAGGCAGACAGTCACATTTGTGCCCTAGGTTTGTGCTGGTTGTGTGGGAACCCAACTGCAGCGGCAGCTCAGTGCTTTCCTCGTGCTGAGCTGCGACATCCACTGCCCTGCCTGTGCCGGAGGGAGGAAGTAAGGGGGCGTAATGGGCTCTATGGAGGCACACGACACCAGCTTACTGGCTCCTAAGACGGTAGTAGTTGAAACTCCAAGCCCTGAAGCTATTCAGATGCTGCTGCCGTTCAGTTCACTGCCATTCAGCCCGCTGTCGTTGCCACGGGCAGCAAGGGCATTCTGCCCCGGCACCACTGGTAGCAATGCAAGCCTGGGATGGTTGGTTTTAGCCTTGTGGTATCTCCTCTAGCTTAGAACATTGCCACGCGAATCAGGAGAGCTTTGCAATTGCCCACGGCCCTTGCGAAAGCTGGGCTTTGAAGTCTGTCAGCTGCTTCTCTCCAGCTGAGAAACGAGCCCAGGAGGATGGGAGAAGCAGAGCCTGTGTCCACTGCATAGCCACGAGCTTGGCATTTGCATGCCACAGCCTTTGTAAGGACACAAATTGTGGAAGTTCAGGTGCTTCACAGCGTAGGGCAGGCACCACATGTCATTGGAGCAGTGCCCTGCTTTACCTCTGTTTTAAACAGAGGAGATCAGTGCCGTACTCGGAAGCACCGAACGACGGTTGCTATTAGATGGGATACACGGAGCAAGGGGGGGCCAGCCCTGATCCGTTGTGCCAAGATCATGCTGCTGTTCTCACTTAACATGTTGTTTCTCTTGTGGAGGAGTGCAGGGGACCACAGTCATCACCAACTTGTCATCCGTGCTGAAGGATGAGGCAGTCTGGGAGAAGCCAAACGAGTTTTACCCCGAACACTTCCTGGATGCCAGCGGGCGGTTTGTGAAACCAGAGGCCTTCCTGCCTTTCTCAGCAGGTAAATCTGCAGGGAGGATCCAGCTCCAAGTCCGGGGCACAGCAGGAGGGGTGATCTGCTCCTCCCGTGGCTATTCCAGCCCCGTTCTTCTCCCTCTCTTGCAGGTCGCCGTGCCTGCCTAGGGGAACAGCTGGCCAGGATGGAGCTCTTCATTTTCTTTACCACCCTTCTGCAGAAATTCACCTTTGTGCTGCCTGAGGACCAGCCCAGGCCATGGGAAGACGGTCGCTTTGCTGTCACAAGCTCCCCACACCCATACCAGCTGCGAGCTATCCCCAGATAAGCACCCACCGCTCCCCTTTCACTCACAGGCCACCACCCTCGCACTCTCTGTCAGCAACGTTGCAGGTCTAGGCAGGACCATGCCAGGTTCCACTCAAGGCCTCTCAAGTCTGTGCAGATGTTCCCAGCTGGGTAAAGTAAGGATATGCCCCAATATTTATAGTTTAGCTTAATTGCAGTCTTAGATCTTGAATGAGGTAGCCATAGCAGGTTACAAAGGTGATCAAGTGTGCAAGTATGTCTGTGCCCAATCAGCCCGCTCTGCTGGACTCTGGGCCCTCATCAGCTGCAGAGCAGTTCACTGTGCATACAGCTGCTGAAATAGTCATCAGTGCTGAATTAGTTTACTGAAATACAAGGGTACCCTGGGTGAAAGACAGCCCTGGGGTCCTGCCAATTCTAGGAGCAAGACACCTTGGAAAAATCTGCAGGGTGCTCCTGGCCCACCCCCTGCCTTGTTAGCCCCACTGCGTACCCAGCCACGCTCTCCCATGCGGTGCCGTCCCACAGCAGGCTGTGCCTCTGCCTGGTGCCCAGGGGAGCCCAGCTCTGGCTCCCTTCCTGCCAAAGCAACCCAGGGCCGATCAGCTGATTTGGCATGTGCTGCTCCCACAAAAAGGTGACATTTAAACGCAGTTTTGGAGCAGTGCTTCTGAAAAGTCTTACCCTCCAACCAACACAGGTCCCCTTCCCGTTCCTTGAATGCTCCTGTCCATCACACACAGGTTGCACTGACTTCATTTATAGCCCCAGAGAAATGCCTGACAACCCTTGTGTCACACTGTGCCCCCAGGAGAGGTAAATGCCAAGGAAGAGTACATAAATAACCCGTATGGTGTTTCAGCCACGGAAGCAGGCCATTTGTGAAATACAGACATTCCTATAAACATATTTCCAAAGAAATCCTGGTGTTTAGATTTACCATCTCCTCTAACTAGGTCCTGAAAACTGCTTTTTTTTCAGCATTACATAAAGTCGGCTCTTGAGCAGATCGGGGACTCATAAGGGGATGGAGTTAAGCTGTTTTGAGATGCTATGGCTGTAGATTTTCTCTCTTTTCCTGCAATATTCCTGACACTGTGTTTTGCAAGGTGTTAAGAGACGCTGATATTTAGATTAGCAGTAACTACCTTTTAACCAGGCAGCTGAAAAAAACATCGCAGAAGGGAGTTTCTGTGCATAATCACAACTAAAGAAATCCACTTTCACATCTGTCTTTCTAATACTAATTTTGGAAGCCATGAAAGCTATTGAATTATGCAAATGCTTAATACCACTGTTGAGTTTTTTTTAGCAGGAAATGCTCGTGCATGCTTTTCAATCCAAAAGAATAAAAGCGGTCTGAAAAACTGCCTTTTCCCCCTCTCCTCTTCGCGGCTGTCTCACAGACCTGTCTTGGATACTCCGTTGACAATTCTCTCCTTACAGCCAGCATCTCTCGTTTCTTTCAAGGTCAGTGATCTCATTTCTTTGAAGATCAGTGTTGCTTTTCTGGTTGATTCAGTGACACCGAACCGAACATGCTTGGGTTTACCGTTACCAGCACACTGAGGTGTTTCTATAAAGAAGCTGCCAGTGGCATTTAAGCAGAAATTATTCCAGCCATCACGTATTTGGCTAAAAAGCGTGGGCATACGCAGTAAGGACGGTCTTTCTAGCATTGCCAGAACGCACTGAAGTCTGCACATGCCAACTTCCCTTGGTGTGGCGCTTCGGAGGCCGAAGGGGACGAACACATCCTTGCACAACACAGACCTAGCGCTGGTACTCGGGGAGGGGTCTGCATCTCCCAGCCAGAAGCGGTTGCAAAAGCCAAGCAGCCGGCGCTGGGCTGGGGCAGGCGCTGTCGCAGCTCGGGGGGGAGGATGGGGCCCTCGCTGAGAGGCGCCCTGCTGGCTCCCGTCACCCGCGGCCGCGGGGCCT